CTCAACTTATTTTTTTCTGTTCCAAAGCAATCAAAAAAAAAAAAGAGACCACACAAGAAGCTGCCTTCAACATGCTGGGCTGTGGGGGCATGCCTGCAATCCCAGCACTGGGGAGGCTGAGGCAGAAGGATGGCCATGGGTTTGAGGCCAGCCTGGGCTACACAGTGTGACCCTATCTTAAAAAATACTACTACTAATAATAATTCTAACCAGTGTTTGTCTTTGTATCCACTATGCCAGGCTGCCCTAATTAGAACCCCGCGTTTGCTCTTGGCACCTTGGATACTGACCTCAACCGCAGTCCTCAGCCCCAGTGCAAACGGCCTGTTTTCCTTCCGGCCCTCCCTGTCCCTGCCCGCACAGCCACCCTCTGGAGAGAGCTTCTGGCCATGGTCGCTCCTGAGTAGGAGGGGCAGAGTTGGTCTCCAGCCTGCAGCAGCACTGAGGCTGCCCGGCTCTTTTCTGCATCCTGCAGACCTGTCCTTACAGCAGGGCTTCGGGGCTCGCGTCCCTCTGCCTCGCTGAGGCCGCCGGGCTGTCTCAGCCACGAGCCAGCGCTTGGGTCTGGGGATGAAGCGCGGAAGGGCCGCGTCTGTGGAGGGCGGGGCACGCAGGGGGGCAACGGGCAGCAGCAGCAGCAGGCCCCTGTCCTCTGTGTGCCTAGGCCAGTTTGGTGCTGAGCTCAGGCATCCGGGCCAAGCCAGCTCCCAGGCTCCTCGGCTGCTCTAGGCCCAGGGCACTCAGGCGGCAGCGCCAAGTGCCCCCCCACAAGTCTGTCTTGGGGTTTCCCAGACTGTGACTTCAGCGGGTCACCCGGGGAAGAAGGGAGGAACCACTGTGTGCACCACGAGGACGACGCCCTTACACACACACACACACACACAGATCGCCCCCCCTGCGGCGGAGGGAGGAGGGGAGGCCTCAATTTCACACACAGCTGACCACCTTTGGGGCTGCGCAGCTGGGGAGCAGCACGCTGGAAGTGGGGCCTAGAGTTTGTGAACCCCAGTCCTAGGGTCCGTCCTTGAGCGCTGGCTTCTGCGGGTGGTGGTCGGCACGCAGCCGTCCCGGGGCGGGGGTGTCGTTCAGCAGCGCGCGTGCACCCGGCGTGCACCAGGCCCTGGGTTCGGGGCCGCGCGCCAGCGCCGCGAACACACACGCGGTGCACCCCGCACCGCAGGGCTCGGGGCCGCACCCTGGCTTCCCGCTGCAGCCGCGTCCTCGGGGGACCGTGTCCTCTCGCCTGGGTCTGGACCCCGGGACGGTGTCTGCACTCGGCTGTCCCCTCCGCCGGGCTCCGTGGGGCCGCTGGCCTCTCTCCCGGGTGTGGCCGACGCCCGTGGGTGTCCCCGGGAAAGGCCCGCTCCCGCTCCGCCCTGCCTGGCCCGGCTCGCTCGGCGCCGCAGGCC